GGCAACAAATTTCACCATTCCAGTTCGAGTCTCGTCCTCCGAATACACCCACGTGGATAGGGGTGAAGTTGTAGAACCGACGCCTGGACTGCCAAATTATAATTGTATTTGACCAGCTGGAAGAAGTCCATGTCTAGTTGTACATGATTTGTAGTGGCGGTTGAGATGAGTGGTACCAATTCCTTTTTGCCATGCCAATCTTTGTTGGCAGTATTTACATACTGCTTTAGATTCTGCAAGGCCGTCAACGACTTTTCCCGTTGAAATCAATTTAAAGTAATCCCAACATTTTGCTTGTTTTTTGGCCTTTCGCTTTCCCCTCGCATCTAAGATATTTAATTGCTGATCTTCATCTTTATGTTCCGCTTCGGGAACATTAATATCATCCAAATCAATTAGAGTGTGGTTTCCCTGACCGTGAATGTGAATATCTTCAGGTATCGGTATGTCATTTAGACCGACAAATTTATTTGGAAATTGACTTTGCGGCGTACTAGGCGATTCTCCATGATGTGGCAATGGCTCACATCCTGTATCGAACAAGCTCTCAACAAATGAACGTTGATCCATTTCTGTAATTGTTTATGATGAAATCTTGACTAGATGAATATAAATGTAGTGAGATTGTGAGAATTGAGAATTGGATGAATTGAAATTGTAACTAATAAACTGAAAAAATTGAATTGATATTGTATATTTTGCAGCATAAGAGAGTAAAAACTCGATAATTGATATAATAAAAGAGAGTTGAGAGAGTTGTAATTTTGGAAGAGCAATTGATATGAAAAAAAAATTTGGGGAAAGGGGGTATTTATAGTAAAAAAATGGGGGGGGGGGGGGGGGGGGAAAAAAAAAAAATTTCTGGTGGTTTAAGTGATTGCAGTGTTTTTATTACTTTATTATATATGAAAAAAGTAGAAATTTTTGAAAATTTAAAAAAAATAAAAATAAAAATAATTGAAAGGATTTTCTTTATATTTTGCTTGCTTGTGTGAGTTTGGTAGCCTTGTCGACAATGATGTTTCGTGATTTCTCAAACTCGAGCCGCGAGTCGGTTCGGCCCAACTGACATCCCTACTCATGCTTGAGCCTCCGTGTCCATAATTTCCTCCATTACTATGGAGGCTCATTTTGAACCTCCATAACATGAGCCTCCATTATTACTTTACTAAAAAAATAATAATAATAATAACATATTACTTTATAAAAATTAATTATAAAAGTTATATTTGATAAATTATATAATTTTAAAGTAAAATCTAACATATTAAGATTAGAATTATTTCATGATAAAAATGAAACGGTAATAAAAACCCATTTCTCAAAAAATAAATATATTCATTTGTTAACATATTTGGTCTTCATTTTTTAAAATTTATTTTTCTTCGAACATATTTTCAATCATATATTTATGAAATTCACACTTTTGCTCTTGAATTAACCCCCTCAATAAATTATTATTTAAACGATTCGTAAACATTTTGATTGATAGTATTTTCCGGTCAACCAAATGGTTACTATATACCTTTTACGTATATATATAAAAATAATGTTTTTATTTAAACTTACTTATATGCTCAAAAATAAACTTTCTATGATGAAAGTGATAGTGTGGAAAAATAGAGAAGCATGACTATAACGTGTAAAAATGGAGAAAGAGTATAGAGGACTTTATGACATCATCCTCCACGCCGTGTAAATTCAAAAAAAGCAACAACACGTAAGATAAAAGACGTCGTTTCTCTCTCAATTAAAAAAAAAAAAAAACTACAGTAACACAAAATGAAAGAATTTATTATTCTTTCTACAGTAGTGAAATATTGCCCTTTTTATATAGTAGTGAAGTGATATATTCCGAAATATTTGGGGCAACAAAATCATCAAAAACTGAGTCATCATTCTCCTTGGGTTGTTTTTTCCGACATCTAAAGACCGCTATTCTAACAAAGTACTATCGATACAGAAGATATGCATAGTATCCATTCGAGCCAAAATACTAAATTTTTATGCATAATTCTTATCCTTTCTACAGATACAAGTTATGTGCTGTATTTAAAATTTAGCAGGGATCTCACAATATTGCCACGAGGTTCAAATGGAAATATATCACATGATATTCATTTATGCTATACTTTAAGTAAATGGCAGTGTTTAGATCAATGATCAGGTTTTGAGCTCGAGGTGTCTGCACGACTTATTCGCTTCTTCCTATATCTCCATGCAACTTGAATTTGTCTTGCTGCTAAGCCTCGCCAGTAAGGTGATTCGTATCTGCAGTGGAACATATATCTAAAGAGTGAGGCTACACCATAAAGATTGGAAAAAGCTGAGTTTGAAGACACTTTCCCCTTTTTTTCCTTAAAAAATGAAAATACAAGTTTCTCCTCATATTGCTTCCTGTTTAGAACTGCTACGTGGAGATATATATTGTTAAATTGACTTAGGTAGGTCTGAACTTCCATAAAAACGAAATGATTCAAAATGTGTTTAGGCTAGTAGGACTTCTACAAGCTGTCTTATTGCTTCCATTCCAGTAAGCATGCTTATCCAAGGAGATCAAATGAACTCTAATATTTACATCATTTTAGTTTGACAGGAGAAAGTAATATTTTCCCCATAAAGTTCAGAATAACGGAATAAAATGTTAGATAGATTACTAAATGTTAGCAAGTGATAAGAGAGAGGATATAGGGATTGTGTAAACCAGGTCCCCTTTTGACATTAGGTTGCAATGTAATTCGCCATCAGATTCTCTAATAATCAATTCCAAGAATTTGTTAAACACATTTGCACAGGTAGAAATTACCTTATGGCCCCCTGAACGCGTGGACTTTTCAAGAATCTTGCAAAAAGACTGGTGACTTCTTCAAGATCCGAAGCTCGCAATATAAATGCTTCTACATTTGTTAAGCATTTCACAAGCCTATTGCTCAGTAATCTGTGTCCCGGAATCCTGATTCTTTTTCCATCTGAAAAAGAAAAGATAAAGAAAATGTTTTGAGTACGATTTTCCAAATACAATTTTGTTCACTTGGTACCACTCTCACTTCTTTGGTTCCTACAACCCTGGCTGCGCACACAAATTTCTAAGGAAAACATTATCAATGCAGCAGATCAGATGGATCAATTCTTTGTAGTGAATTTCAAAATAATTACTTATTTAAGGATCAACGAAGAGACTTAAGTCTAAAGTGAAGTTTGATGATTAAGTGATCAATCTTCACGCAGTTCTGTACCAAGAATTTTTGTGAATACCTCAAAAGATTCCCTGTTTCTACTTTACCAGGTAAAAGAGCTTGCTGCATTTATAATGATGTAGCTTCAAATTTTCAAGTAAATTGATAGAAGACCAGATTATTTGTAGTTGATCAACTTTAGAATTATAATAACTCATGTTTCATAGCTTATAAAATGATTAAAGCAAATCAAGTATCAACTTATGCATAAACATGACCATGAAACAACTCATTTATTGTGAAAACAAACGCTTCAAAGATAAATTTACATCTGTCTGAATAGTGGAGTTACCTGTCTTTTTCAAACAGGCAAAATGAAAATGCTCTAAAATTGCCCTTGTTAACATGCAGCAATTCAAGTTAAGTTACTAAAAAGAGAGAACTAGTCGTACTTGTACCTTTATTTACAGAAGAATGCTCAAGGCACCATGTGAGAAGTTCTTCTCCACAAGCATCTCCTTCAGACAAGGGAGCTGCAATCAAATCTTCCCCAATGCTCTCCATTTTCCCCCGAACTATAAACACCATCTTGTTCACCAGACCACCGTGATATAAGATTTTGCTTCCTTTAATATATGTTTTTTGGCGTAGCCTCTCACATATGGCATCCATGATGGGTTCATCCAGAAGTTGAAAAATTCGGACCTTAAAAATGACAACATACCAGGAATTTTATCAGACCATGGAGAGTCCATTATATAGTCGGACAAAAACAATTGACCATGGAGATGGTAATTTGTGCAATTAGAAACTGATTTACAGGCAAAATATTTTATTATAACCTGGACCAATCCTGAAGCACAAGATCCCAATGAAATCAATTATACAAGGGACTTAAAACCTCATACTTCAAGAGGAAAAATTTAACCAACACAAATCATAAAACAAAAACTATAATATCATCGTGAATCGAATGATCATTTAAAAGAGTAGCCTGGAAGAGATGAATTTATTATTATATATTTATATCTCCAACACGCCTTCTCACATGTAGTACAAATTTATTTTCTTCATAAAATTTGTAAATGAGTTCTGGCAAAACTCAAGAGTTGGGGCATTTGCCTGCTCAAACACTACAAGGAATGGCGACCTCATCTAAAAGCTTGATCAGTTATCCTTGTTGCTATCCTATATAGGTTCAACTGGGAAGCTGTCTTTTCTTTGCTTTCACGTGATCTTCCATGTACAGCCTAAGGTATCTCTCATTCTAGAGTTTTGTTTCGTGTCAATCTATTCTTTGGTGTGTAGGAACATACTTTCTCAACAAATTTAAAAAGATGACGCCGTATTTCCCTTTGAAGGTCTTCAGGTAAATTCTCCAGTAGCATGTCTTCATTTACCCCTCTGGTGGCAGCCCAATTATAACGTTCTGCTTGTCGAACTTGCCTGCATGGAAAATTTATCATACATTTTGTCTGCATTTAGAGGTTGCAGTCTATGCCAAAAATACATAACCACAATTGAAATGATCAAATGAAGATTTAGATCATAAGTGCTTTATAGAGTTCTACTAGCAAGAATTAATTATAGAAAAAAATAGCCCATCATTAAGCAGCTGATGGTTTAACAGCAGATATGGATCGATAATTCTTTAAATTCTAATAAATCCCAAGTCGGACAAATGGAAGAATTAACCCAAGATCATTAAAGGCAACAGATGAAACTTGGCATTTTACATTTCTTGAGACAACATTAATTAGACAATTTATGTCTACCGAGGCCACATTTTAAAAAAATTTGAAAAACATTAGATTTGTATATTTTATCACTGAATAGTGAAAAGGGCAAGTATTTGCCCTTTATTTTATTTGATGATTAGAGGAATAATTATTCTAGTGATAATCATACTTTTGCTTTTAAAATTGATATAACTATGTGAGGAACATTCTTTCAACAATAATAGCAGTAAAAGATATAGTTACGGCAGTAATGATGAAAGATAACTAAAACTTAGAAACTATAAGATAGCAATACAGATGCAGAAGCATAATTCCTAGCAATTGATCAAGTTTTAGCTAAACAAGTCTTGTTAATATGAGATACACTCAAGTTTGTTTACTTCTTTAAAACCCTTACTACTAAGTGCCTTTGAGAAGATACAACAAAACCTGCCCATATAGCAGCAAACTATAAGACCTTTTCACAGAAGCCTCGAGGGACCAGAAGAAATAACAAGGATTATTAGGTTCTTTATGGTTTGCCTCCCAACGTTAACACAAGAACCTCTAAAGTGTCATTCATAAAAGAACAATTTTACACACATCTTAATGAATTCTGTACCCTGAAAAAGTAATAAGGGAAAATAATTACCATTTTTTTATATACTCTTTATCTTATACCAATGCAATCCACTATGATTTTGAACATAAGTTACTGTAACAAAAGAGCACCACAGGGATGTATGTTGAAATAATAATTAAATTGGAAATGAGGAATATATTTATGCCTTTTTTTAAAAAAAGAAAAAAAGGGTCAAAAATAAGCGTCAAAAGTAAAGGAAATCAAGATGGCACCTTCTTAGTTCTACGGGCAGGCGTCGATGGCTCATCCACCGCTCAACATCACGGCGTCTTAGAGACATTTCTAACCTCCTGACAAAAGAAAAACGAATTCACAGCAAGTGTCAGCTATATTTTTCAACTTGAGAAAATATGATGTCAACTAACATTATAAAATGAACAAGAAAAATTATATTTTTATTCTTTTTGTTATCATTATTTTTCAACAGAGCATGGATAAGCCATGTATGAGATGTAAACTGCACTTTTTGGTGGAAAAATTTGTGGTAGGAGAATGCAACCGCTATATTGAAGCACATATTTGCGGCATAATGATTAATAAGGTAATTAAACCTCTGAAATTTAGTAAATCTCGTTTAAAAAAAGATTATAATATGTCAAATGTATAGCATGGATACACAAACATGCTACCTGCGCCCAAGGGCTTGAAGAAAATTCTGCATATTTCCTATCAGCAGAGCAAAAAGCAGGAGGCCCATTCCAATAATGGCCATTGTAAAAAGGACTTCCCATTCAAAATAGCTTGGAACTTGATTCCCAGCCAGGGTACTAATTTGCTTTGTAAACCACCACAAGATAAATAGTCTCAGTAGGAAAATTAGCGTTTTCAACAAAACAAGTATGACTTCGAGTAATTTGTACACAAGTTCAAGAATGTTTCTTCAATGCTCAGCTTGTTTAATTTCTTCTTCTGTTACTACATCTTCAATTATAACTGGCAGAAATTTAAATACCAGATCAAATCTGATGCTACTGTATGAAGTCAGAAAATTCAGACATGAATGAGCCCGCATTCATCAGACTTCTCTTTTCTCCTTTTGAACAATTTAACAGAAGGAAGCCAACACTCAGATCAGAATTTACTTAAATGAAAAACCATTCTTTCTTCAAAGCATTTGTTCTTTGGTCTTTAGCCACGTGACGAAGCCATACTGCATTCTAATTGAACTGCAAAAAAATCTATACATCCTAACGCTCTTTTCTTAAGCCTTGAAGCACTTGAAATGAGATTTCACACAGATAACTGAATAAATAAGCTTCAATCCAATTCAAGGAAATTTTTTCTATTATTTGTTAAATATTTGCCTCAACGAAATATCAATGCATCATGACACACTTAAGAATTGTCTTCGACCAGAAGACATTACCACAAAAGCATAAAAAGAACATTTATTGTCCAATTTCCTTTTAAGTTTTAACATGAACATCTCCAAATATATTTCAGCATAGCATACTTAAAAAACTGTCTTCTGTTTAAAGGAAAAATGCAAACAATGTTAATGCGCAAAGATACCTGGAACCCCCAAAATAATGAGTATACATATCTTGTTGTGGCAGATTCCCTGGTGGTTAGATTGACAGCTTGTTTATAAATTCCATAAGGAAAACTGCCATCCCAAAAACAAGCAGTTGCATTTATATTATTCTTCCATTGCTCCCATGTCGATTCGTCCTTAAATGTTTCATAACCATTTGATTCATTTCCACGCCCACAGTCAATGAATTTCTCACACCTTGAAATGTTGGAGCTACGACAAGCATCTCGAAGACATTGATTCACTCTCTAGAGATAAGCATGTCTACAAATAATGAGTCTAGAGTAGGAAGAACAGCATTTCAATGTGTATCATGCAAGAAAATTACAGTACTAGCTATACGTTAACAGTTTTCAAGTGACAAGTATAATTTGATGGAAATAAAGCATTTTCTGTGAGCTATAATGAAGTGTAATACCATCATTTTAAGCAGAAATTCCAGGAAAAAAAAAA